ACGGGCTCGGTCCCTGTGACCAATCTAATAAACATTTTGTGCTTGTTATGGTTTTCATGCTATAACTTTTAAATTAGTAAGTATAGGTTCACAGAATTTGGCAAATTATCAGTAAACACTACAAGGCTTTCATACACAAAATATCAGATTTTTTAAGTCTTGAGGTTTTTTAAGTAAAGTTTTTCTCATGCCTTTTTCTTTTCGCATGTTGCCTATCCAACATGCAAAGTAATTTTCATTTGAAGATTAAAAATATTCTTATGCAACAGAAAAATTTCAAATTTCACGTGCAAAATCTTTATAACCTCCAGATAATTATCAAATGTTTTTTCAGCAATGATGTAGTGCACGTGCACTCATGTTACCATATCCAATAGTATAAAACTGGCCTTTACAAAGTGACCTGTCTTGGCTGTGTTTTAGTGGACTAGTATTTTGTAAAATACAGTCACATTTCAATTATTATACATTATATATGCATATAGATTATTACTGTTTACAAACAAGTTCTTAAACTTATTTTTCTTAAAACATAGAACAGTAAATGAAGAAGTAAAGCAAACAATTATCTCTTCTTGTTACAACTTTTGTACTCAGTTGCTAACCCTTTTAAAATTTTGCACATGGAGGATGTGAAACGAAATAATTCTTTTTAGGTTTTTTGTATATATATACATTTGAATAACCAGAAAATCATAAATTACTATATCGATACCATAGAATTCCATTATAATTTACCAAGTTTATTAACTAAGCTGTATTTCGGTCTAAAAAAATATGAAATTTCAAGCAGACTAAAGACATAACCTACCTCCTAGATATCTTGGTTCGAAAGAACGAGATGGCGTCCTAAGACATGAAAATGGCTGAGAAAGCCACTAGGGGGACATTCTGAGCTTTCGATAGATTATTCACATCTCGTATACACAAGTAAGTGTATATAAGGGACTGTTTCCAAAAATGGAAAGAGGTGAGCAGGGCCTCTGTGTTTAATTCAGTACATGAATGATATCTCAGCAAATAGAAAAGATATGAGGTTCATATTTTATATTCTAGCTTGTTAATATCAGTAATTTGAGTTCCTAATTCATACGAAACTACGGACTTTGTATTTTGACATCACAAACATCTAATTTGAACCAGTACTGCATTCAACATACCATGTGACACACAAGAATCGATGTTTAAGTGTGTGTTTTTAATATTTACTTTTAAATTAAGTAATGTATAATACAAAAATTTGAATTATAATCTACAATTTAATACTAAACTTATTGACATGGGTTCTTAAAATAATAGTTCAATAAAATTTTGAATGCGAGTCAATAAACGTGATGACATGGCCTTTGACCCACGTGGAAAGGGTTAAAGAGCTATGGCTAAGCAAATAAACCTTTAGTATTAATAACTACAATGCTCACATTCTATAAGTAATGTTAAACATATAACTTGTTCAATGCACTATCAACCTACCTAGCTTTTACCAGAGGTGGTGACAAAACTATTCGCTGGTACTGGAAATAGGGGACACTGTTTTCATAAACCTCTCTATTTGATCTCCAGCCACAAGCAGTACATAAGAACTCTGGAGTTAAGTCAGGAAGGTTTTGTGACTTCAATTTAACTTTCATTTGGATCACAATGTCAGGTTGCACATGTCGTAGAATATCAACCAGTAATGATAGTCCAATACCTTTGCAAGTTTTAAAAGGTTTATTTAAAACATTATACTATTTCAATATTTCAACTACATTAGATTCTAATGGTTATTTTCTATTTATAAGATTCAAAAGAACAAATGATAAAACTTTCAAGTTGTTTTTTACACAAAATAGGAGAATAAAAAACAAATTACTTGTCTTAACCTCAAACATGTAAATAACTGAGATAACACACCATACCAAAACATCAAATATTAGATAAAGCTTACCAACATTCCATCCCATGGTGTTGATAAAAAGAGGAACCTCATTAAAATTTTCTTTGTACCACTCATGTATCTGTTGAACACTCTCGGAGTATAGATCAGGAGCATTTTGAAGGTCAACAGTACCAACGAAGCTCATTCTGGACAGACATTTGATAAAATAAAAATTATATATATGTACTAAATTTTACATAATACTTAAAAAAAGTTACAGCTGCACTGTTTGTTAGTCATGTGACACTAAAATTCACTAGAAAGTCAGCTGGCCAATTAAAAAAAACCTTACAAAACAACATAAAAAGGAAGTACTCAGAACATCTACCACAAGGGTTTGATTCTGTATTCCTGGCTAGATGCATAAAATGAGAATGATCAAAGTGAAGACGAACAATTTAAAAAACAAGTTTTGCAAATGATTAATTCTTCTCAGAATTTAAAACTGGATAAGTATAGTCTGTTTTCAAAATGATGCACTGAAGATGTATGTGTTACACATTTTTAACATACTTGGAACATAAATAACAGTGATTAACACAACTTCTGACCACATTTAAGAAACCAGGAGAATACCCAACAGATTTAATGCTTAAGTTGATCTTATATCTCAAGTCCTCTCAAAGGTTTGTTTGTTTGTAATTAAGCACAAAGCTACACAATGGGCTATTTGTGCTCTGCCCACCACGGGTATCGAAACCCGGATTCTAGCGATTGTAAGTCCGCAGACATACCGCTGTGCCACTGGGGGGGGGGGGGAGATCTCAAAGGAAATCTCGAAGGTGTGTTATTAGCTTTTTAGGTAGAGTAGCTAAGTTATCTCACAATGTAAAGTGGCTGTGACCAAATGGCAACTCTCTTTGTATATAAACATATGGAAGCTACATCACACACACAGCTAAGAAATATTTCACTTTAATGGACCAGTCTCACAATTGAGATTCTTTAGTACAAAAGAAAGCATAAAACATAGTAAAATGTCCAACGTGAAAGTCTTTTATTTTTCAAGACCATCTTTAATTAACCAAAAAAAAACCCAATTTAAGATTTTGTTGTTGTTTTTTATTGTAAATGTAAAAAAAGCATTCTCAACGATGTCTTAACAAGTGGGTATGAACCAAATTTTGTTTCTTGAATTTCACAACAAAAAAAGTAAAATGACAAGCTTTACCTCTCTGGTGTCTTCTGATGTGTAAAGGGTGGGCCTATAATACATAACATTCATTTAAGTACATGCAGCTCTTCAAATAGCAAACAATAGATGTAAATCAAATACAATGCCTTGCAACAGTTCAATGACTACGTACAAACAAGATCATACAACAACTTTTCTGGTTGTATATAAGCTTACTGATTAACATTCAATTAATCATGTTACACATTATAATTACCTGTAAAAATATATTAATAATAGCATTTTACATTTCTTTGATGTATAATTTTGTTTTTCATTATGGTTGAATAACTATGAAAAATAACATAAGGTTTATATATATATATATATAAATATATAGCAAAAAAAGGCCACACAAATTACAGAACAAGTCACTATGTCTTCTTTAATATGTAATGTTGTATTATTTATTAGCATTTTGAACAAAAACAAAGGTAGGAACAATTCTACTCTAAATAAGAGAATGACATTAGCAAAACGTTGCTGCTGGTCTTTTGTTGATGTTACAACTTTTAAAAAGAAAAAATCACAAACACAAAAATGAAATATAAAACATAATGACAATAAAGTTACCGCATTCAATCTCTTTCCTATATTATGAAGTGCATACAGAATTATAAAATAACATAAATCAATATTTTCTCCTTATAGCAGTAACCAATTACAGACCACATCTGAAAATCAAAGTGTAATTTTGAAAGCACCCAAGTTTTGATTTTTTCTTTACACAAATGAATACATTTTACCTATTATTTTCATCTGTTTAATACTATGATTTAATTTTTGTTTCTTTGATATTTCATCACAATTTCTTTTAGGTCAGGTGTTTACAACATATCAGTCATGATTGACCACAAACTTTTTATAGGTAGACTGCAAAATTTTCAATACTGAAAATATTTAATTTTGTTAATTTTTTTCTGTATATATTTTATTTTTTGTTATGTAAAAACTGTGTCCTATGAATCAGCCAGAAAAACTCCTTGGAAGATTATTCTGTTTTCCCAAAGGTTACCAAAAGTTTAAAAGTGATTTCAAACAATTAATGACAATATGTAATCTTTAATCTCTACCTATAACGTTTAACTCTGACATATGTGTATTTTAGGTTTAATTAGGGCTTGCAATTGATAGATCACCAAATATTTAGCAAGCCAACCTTGTGAGCCTCGTGAAAAGGTTGGTGACCCACCCTAAATTGCTAAAATGTATATTTTGTTTGCATATTATCACAGCTATGAAAGTTACAACTGAAAATCTGATAAATCCCACACTATCACAAATGGCTGGAATTAGCAGCTTACTGGAATTAAACTGTTGAAAAATCTTTACGAAACTAGCATGTCTATATAATTTATCATCACCCAAATCTTATCAAGATAAAGATGTTAATATACCTACTTCTTTGCAAGTTTTAGTGTAACATTATCTGATTGGGCAAACCATATTCTATAATTTAACTTACCAAACAATGGTTCACAAACCCGTGTCACTGCAACACAGCCTGGTGGGGTAAACTCTGTTTGGCCTGGATCTGCCTCTAAGTGCATTACCTCACTACACCTGTAGATAAACAATTTAATAATAATTACAAAGACTTACAATTTGAGAGCTAAAATTTAGTTAGCAGACAGGTTATGTGACTTGTAAATAATGCAGATGAACATTTCAAATTTCACCTTATAAATAATTCTAATGTAAATTACAGTTTGTTACTCCAGTTTATTACCATTTTTGATGTAAATCTTAACTGCTTAGATCAGCATTTCCCAAACTTTTGTCATCCATCACCCCCATAATAAATATGGTTTCTTAAATGACCCCCCTCTTTTTTTTTTAATGAGGGAAAAAGTGAGCTAAGTGACGAGATTTAATACATGGATACGCATTAAAATGCTTTATATGTTGTAGTAATTACTTATTATTTTCATTAATAAAAATTATATTAAAATGGTTAATTTTGCATTACTGCACTATTGACTCTACCCTAATTGCTCACCCTCCCAAAGAGATCGCTTGTACTCCCTGGGGGTGCACTCCCACACTTTGAGAAATGCTGGTTTAGACAATGTTTATCTTTACTTTTATCTTTTATCTCAGTACTTATTCAAATCTGTTCCAGATATATCTCCTGTAATATGCGAATGTTTGTCATTTATCCTACAGCATAAACCCTGGTTCGGTGTGGTAGATAAGACAGTTGGTGGCTATTGTAAAGTATTTAACATAAGTCATGTGCATGACTGAACAATGTCTATAACATATGTAATTACATTAAGAACTCAAGCTAACCCTTGGGAGAGCTCCTGATAATCATCAAATGCTAACACTCAGCCCTCTCTTTATTTAAAATATCTTTCCAATCTGCACTTCTAACAACAAAAACATTTTAAATTCAAATATACAAGCTAACTGCACAGTGCCGTATACAGTAGGTCCCAAGCAGGGTTTGCAATAGTACCAGCGGTACCGGTACTCAAGCATCTCTAATCATGTGACATGAGTAATTAGAAATTCAACTATTCTGCCCAGTGTGTTCTCGTGGGAAAATTTTTTTTAACATCAAACCAAATTGTTAATTATCTGTAAGCCCAAGTGATATGATGACGATAGCAATTAATCAGTTGAAATCTAGGTATTCTATTGGATATAAAATTAATGGGAGTCAACCTCAGAAAAATCTATTAGCAAACTGAAGTATGTCTAAATTAAATTAAGTTTGCACAATTTATCTCCACTATAGGTATGGAAGGTTTCATTTCTTAAATACCTTCCCAAAATTCAGAAAGGTGGAAAACTCTGATTGAGATATTAGGAACCAATAATCAAAACAGTTAATCTCTCGATGAACTGAAGAAAATGTTTGTGGAACAGTTCATTCATAATCGTAGCTGGTAGGAAATATTTCATTTATATTATCATTTTGAATACACATAGCTAGATAAAATTATACAGCAATCATATGAAGTCACATAAATCAAGCTTCCATAGGATGTAGTCTGAGTATTAGTCGACAGTTAACCTTGATATACATTGGAGCACAGTGTTGCTCAGGACGTGTATGAAGTGTTACAAACAATGCTCATGTATTCTGAATATTTCAAGGAGTTACAACAACAAAAGGGGAATTAAAAGTTTTATGCCCATGTCAAAAATTTTTTCTCACAAACAGTGAAAATGTTTTTAGGGTCAGTCATAGGAAACAAAGATTTTTTTTTTACCTTACATGTTTATCTGTCCAATAAGTATCACTAACAAGTTAAATCTATTAAATCCAAGATTTGTATGCACAAACATTATAAATAACAATATTAATTTGGTGATAAAGTAAAATTCCTTTTAACACCATATTCAAATGACTGGATGTTATATGAGGTAATCCAGCTCATAATAATACTAGTCTCAAACAAGTACCAGAAAAGATACTCAGACAATAAAGTCACACAATTTCAATCATTTTTCCAACAAGTTGATAAAAACTCTATAACCCGAGCACTTTTGCAAGGTGGAACTTCCTTCTTCAGGGGCAAACTAGGAATGGTGTGTAATCAAATGAGATATATATATATATATAAAGTGAGTTGAGTGACTTCATGAAGGTCATCAGGTTTTCCAGGAAATGTTTAGTATATTTTTCCAGGTACTGATATAAGTGTCTCATTTCCAATACAATGTAGCTGGCAACGAGAGCATTATGTAAAAATGTGTTAGAGGTATTTGGCTTTAGAATTGGCTGAATATATATATATATATATAAGTTAGGGTTCACACTACATGAAAGAAATAAGCGAAGAATAAAAATTATTTTTCTAACAGAGATGAAACCAATGATTGGATATCACTGATTCCAAGATCTAGAGTAATTTCAAAAAGTTGACAAGTGTTTAGATTTGCAATCCAATAAGCTTCTTTTATTCCTCTATCAGCTTTAGTTTTGAATCCTGTCTCAACACTGATAACAGTAACATCATTAATGGAATAACTGGGTTAGTTAAAGTGTTGAGCAACAGGGAGATCTTTTTCAGTGTTAATAGAAGATTTATGGTTGTTGAAACGTTGAAGAGTTGTTTGTGTATGTCCTACATATTGGTGATTGCATTTTTTACACTGTATAAGGTAAATGGTGTTTTGTGTTCCAGAAGTGATTTCTTTGAACATTTTCAAGTTTCTTTGGTTGTGCTTGTCTGTTTGAAGTTAAGCACAAAGCAATGGGCTATCTGTGCTCTTCCCACCATGAGTATCAAAACCCAGTTTTTAGCATTGTAGATACACAGACATACCACTTTGCCACTGGGGGGCTGGTTATACTTGTCAGAACACGAGTCACTAGTTTTTATGAACTTACAAGTTTGACAATGAGCTTTATTGCTTGAATGATAAGCATTTTTTTAGTGGGATGTAATTCACTTTTGTGTGAACAAGTATATATTTTAGAATCCTGTTTTTTTGGAAGGAGATAACGGGAACTTCAGGGAATATCTGTTTAAGGCAATCGTTCAGTTGTAGGAGATGAAAATGCTTCTTCAAAAATTTGTGAAACATTTCTGAGGTTAAAGTGATAGGTAATAATAAGAGGAATTCTATTTGAAACTTTAGTATCGTACTGTTTTAGGATGTTTTTCCACTGAGTGTTGCTAGCCTTTCCGAATCTGTCTGTTGATTTCGGTATCTTTATATCCTCTTTGGAACATGGTTTGTTTTAGATCCTTGATGTGTTTTCTGTAGTCTATTTCATCTGAGTATATTTTCTTTATTCTAAGAGCTTGACTGTAGGTAATGTTCCCTTTAGTATGAGAGGGGTGACAGCTTTTATAGTGAAGGTATTGTGGTCTGTCTGTAGGTTTTTTGTACAAGTCGGTGTGTAAAATTCTGTTCTTTAAAAAGACAGCGACGTCAAGAAAGTTAATTTGGGTAGGCAAGTAATCAAAGGTAAACTTGATTGTTTTGGGAAAGGAGTGTGCATATGAGATAAATTCTTTAAGTGATTCAAGACCGGCTGTCCAAATAAAAAATATGTCATCTATGTAAAAGTTGTAAAAGCTGGCTTTCAATAAGACCCCTAAAAATGTTGGCATAACTGGGAGCCATTTTGGTATTCATTGCAGTACTGTTAACATGAAGGAAATGTTCGTTATTGAATTCAAAGTTGTTCAGAGTTAAAACCAGGCTAGCAAGATCAGTTACTGTTTGAGATTCTGATGGGTTAGAAAATTTAATGTGGACTTTAGAGTTTCTAGTTCTTCATAGTGATATAAAAGACTGTTTAGTTTATATATTATTGATTAATATATTTTTATGAGTGAATATTCTATTATTGTTTAATTTTTGTTATAATAAAAGTTAAAACAGACAACTGTAGGAAGTTGTGTTTATAAGTCATCGATGTTGAGACTATCGAATGGCGTGTGCAATACACTGACGTTAGGAATATAGAGCTTTCTAGAAAGCAGACAGATGATTAAGTGATAAACATATAAATAGTATGAGAGGAGTAGAAACAGCAGACAGATGATAGCAAAAAAGAGCAAAGTTACATGCAAGGAAAAGTTTGGTGTGAAGTTAACTACCATAGAAGCGATAGGCCTAACACTTAATATGTTAGAGTAATACTAAGAGTAGAAAAATAAACAATAATAAGAATTTATTCCATTAAAGCGTGGTTCTAAGGTAATTGAATCAGGCTGAGTACACTTTGACAAAAGGAACAGAGGATACTTAGAAGAAAGAAGACCAAACGATTACGGTCATTCATGCCACAATTGTAAGTGAATCACACACAGAATACTAATATGATAGTAATATAGAATGATAGTTTGGCTTGTCAACTGAAATTCAAAAGTAATTGGATAGACCCAAGTAGACTTTTGATAAGAAGAAGAGAACTATATATATATATATATATATATATATAGTTAGTTATAGTATATCGTACCTAATTAATACTTACTTAGTACGACTAGTAAGGTAAAGTTAAGTTTAGTTACGTAACTAACGTTTAACGTTTTAACTT